AATATGATTTTTTCTTGTGTTGGTGTTGTGTACTCAGGTGAATATGATATTTGTGATGTTACTCTGAGTGTATATCCACACCGGGCGAGCTTGAAAAATATGCCCGGCCACGGTGGGATTCGAACCTACGACCTTTGGAATACATTGGTATCGAAGGAACTAGATAATTCTGTTCCGAAATATCACTTACTCGAACCGTCCTGACCGCGTAGCTCAGTTGGAAGAGCAATGGGCAAGTATTGCAAAGGTCGTAGGTTCAAATCCCACCGTGGCCGGGCATATTTTTCAAGCTCGCCCGGTGTGGATATACACTCAGAGTAACATCACAAATATCATATTCACCTGAGTACACAACACCAACACAAGAAAAAATCATATTTCTTGTAACAGGAAGTTAAGAACTTCTAACAGGAATTGAGGAGAATTTATTCGGCTCTTAAGAACATTATAAATTCTCTCAAAGGATTTGCAAGGGAGTTTTTAAAATTTGCTAAAGTAATGAGGAAAATTGCAATCAAGTTAGGAACTTAAAAGAGGAACATTTCACCTAGTTTACCTGTAATATCAATATATTTATTGAAAAATAGCTATTATGTCAAAATAAGAAAACTTCAGATTCTCACACGAATAGACAATGTTTGTATGAGCGACTGTTCATCTGTAGTTGCAAGGGACGGTAATAACAAGGTCAAGGTCAGGATCACTGGTCAGTATCACGACTATTTAAAAATTTGAAGTAAACAATGTTATTTCCTCCAAATTTAAACAAAATTTAGCTTTATTGTGGCTTTTTGAAGGTATAAAAACCCGTGGAAACGGTGAATTGCTATAATAGATTGAAAATAATTATTAAACGTACTGTGATCTCGACTACGATTGAAATTATCGTCTTATCGAAGTGGAATACTATTTCGTTGTATTATAAAATTTCAATGGTATTATTAATGAGAATATTGTTTGATATTTTTAATATACTTCATGTTATTTACAAAATGTACTGTAGTTTTGCACACAACATAATCAGTGCGAACACGGCAATGGCTTCGTTTCAATTTGAGCATATAGAAATGAGTATTTTATAGCGTGGCGTTTCACGGTATTTAATAAATTTATAAAACGCCTGATAATTGACATAAAATAATCAGTGCGACCACAACGTCTGTGAAATAACAGACTATAAGGTACTATTAAAAACAGCAAAGCTTTACGTACCTCCATATATTTTTCTAAAGCGCTAAATTCGGTAAATTTGCGTTTCCTCGACGGTTTCCTCGACGAAATCGGTGAACGAAAGCGTGCATATTAAAGTGTTCACATCAGATTAAAATGCTCGTCGGAAAAACTCGGTATTTGTCGTATTTGACGAATCTGTCACGACAGTCACGTGATTTACCACCGCCCGTACACGGTTCACCGTACACCGCGACACGAAATTTACAGCTATATGAAAGTTGCATGCCCATATATGGGCATGCAACAAAAACGCGTGATAAAAAGGCAATTATTTTGTTGTGAGCAACAATGGTGATTTAAAAACACTTATTAAACATTGCCTATGTTTCACGAAGTGATGAAACCAGCTGGAAAACGTGACATCGACTAGGTCAAATGAGTCAAATAGCATTTGTTTTCGAAGACCAGATTGAATTTGAAGTCGCATCTCAATGAATTGAGATTTGCCAATTTTCTAGCTTTTGTGAGTGATTTTTGCACGTTAATCGAAGGTATTTATTAATGTTTATAGATTTAGTTTCATGAATTTATTCAATTTGTATAAATTCAGTGGAATTTTCAAATATTTTCGATATTTTAAAAACTTTTTACGTATTCCGTGCCTTTGTCCTCTAACAGGTCATATAGCTCTCGACCAATGAAATCGCATAAATTCTTATCGTTATTATATAATATTAAATTACTCAATTGTCTGAACAAAAACCATGGCTAGTCATACATCTTTGTATCTTCTTCTAATAGTCTTGTTCGAATCAATATCCAAAACAGTATTTACAGTGTTATTTTCAAGCTTGTGTCTTCAAACTAGCTTGCTTTTTTATTACGGTTTTTCCATTCCTGTTCCGACTGTACGTGAGCTAATTCCAACCGGAAATACAATTTTGAAACGTCAAAATAATGCGATGTTTCCATCCCATGAGGCTGGAAATGCCAGAAATCGATTCTAAAACTGAACATGCATGTATGTACGTAACCTGAAGTTCAGGCCATAATTTGAAATAGGGCCTGACACAAAACCTGTCAAGACCGTGGGACGCCCACATGTTATTTTTAGAGACAACATGCAATATGATTGACAAGTGTTGTAGATTTCGTTACACAAAAATTTATATTCTCATGAACATGTCCGCAGAGTGTGCATTTTGCTTTTTAATTAAACTTAAAAATTCAAGGTACTTTTATATAATTAAGAGTCAGTTTCTCTATTTAACCGAAAAACAAACAAAGATTTAATTAGTCAGTTCTGTGCACGGCTTGACTGCCAAGCTTTCTCAAGGTCTCAACTTGCTGGACGCGGATATACTCTAACGACTAACGGGCTAATTAACAACAGCAACAATGAAATTCTCAATCGGACCACGAAGAAGGCGATGTAGCTCAGAAGACAACGCCGGTAGGACCTGATATTAAAAATAAGACTTTCGCCGGCGAAGCCAGTTGGCAGAACATCTTGTCTGTCAACAACAAGCTTTCGAATACATGACTAGTTTGGCTGTTCGTGTGTCCAAAATCCGTCAAAGATTTTGATGAAGCCCTTTCAAAATACTGTTTGTTTGATTTATTTTCTGCCATAAAGCATAAAAGAAAAGAACTTCGAAGAAATCGATAATGGAATTTGTTACGTGCGTTAATTTGACCTTTATATTAATTGTCGCCTAGAGCCCTTGACCGAGCTATTTTTAAAACTGTTGTTTATGTGAACTTGCAACCAATCAAAATCCTTCATGATGCTGATCAACCAATCAGATTTCCCGTTCACCAGATGGACGGGAATCCCACAGTTTAGATAGGTTTTGTGTCAGGCCCTATTCTGTGATTAGGGCCTGAACTTCAGGTTAGTATGTACGTGATTTGACGTCTATCCGGCTACGGGTGCTTCTTATTTGCGAAATATAGCGTGTGGCAAACGCGTGCGAGTAAAGCCCGATATTTAAAAAAGGTGGAAGGGAGGGGGTGTACGTGTTTTTGAAGGGGGTAAGGAGGCGTCACTGAATGAGGGCATAGGGTGGTGTGGTGTTTCCCCTTACATTTCAGACAACGGAACTTGGATTGGCAGTTTGATGATTTATGATTTCCCAATCAATTGAAACACAGTTTTTCCCTTTTCGCTATTGTCCACCTCTCTTGGCAATCCTTTACAACATTACAATTGTGGGTGGGGTGAGGACCCTTGAAATATACACATCGTTTAGTAGTGTGTCCCTGTTTGTATCTTGTATTATGATGTTGGTTTCATTGTGTTTGTGTGAAAAACGAACCTGTTGTTGTGTGTTTAGGTGATGGCAGTGTAGCTTGAATTAGATTGGATTGAACACCGGCTTCTAGAATTCTTATTTCCTGACGAATGGACTCTCTCAGTTGTGCAAATTTCCATTCGGGACTGTCATGGTCATGGGCTAAGTTTGTTCTGAGTTGATGTGGTAATTTTCTAAGAACAATTGGGACTAGGAGGTCTCCATAGTTACTGCGGGATTTGCCGAGCGATTCTAACCCCCTAATGTGGTTTTCCATAGTGTCATAGAATAGATTCAAACTTGCTAGTTCATAGTTGGGGTTTTGCAGATCAAGTAGACACTGCATGGGTGCATTAATTACTTTGGTGGGGTTACCAAATCGTTCCTTCAGGAGTTGAATAGCTTTGGTATAGTTATGGTTTGTGAGGGGAGACCATGCAATAGCTCTTGATGCATCACCCACCAGTTGGGCCTTAAGGTAACTAAACTTTTGTACATCCCCAAGGGTTGAATTGGAGTGGACTGCAGCTTCAAATGAGTCCCAGAATGTAAACCATTGTAGCGGGTTCCCAGAAAATGTTGGAAGGTTTAATTTTGGTTAACCTGAAGTTCAGGCCCTAATTTGAAATAGGGCCTGACACAAAACCTGTCTAGACAGTGGGACGCCCACATGTTATTTTTAGACACAGCATGCAATATGATTGACAAGTGTTGTACTTTCGTTACACAAAAATTTATATTCTCATGAACATGTCCGCAGAGTGTGCATTTTGCTTTTTAATTAAACTTAAAAATTCAAGGTACTTTTATATAATTAAGAGTCAGTTTCTCTATTTAACCGAACAGCAAACAAATATTTAATTAGTCAGTTCTGTGCACGGCTTGACTGCGAAGCTTTCTCAAGGTCTCAACTTGCTGGATGCGGATATACTCTAACGGGCTAACAACAGCAACAATGAAATTCTCAATCGTACCACGAAGAAGGCGATGTACGTAGCTCAGAAAACAACGCCGGTAGGACCTGATATTAAAAATAAGACTTTCGCCGGCGAAGCCAGTTGGCAGAACATCTTGTCTGTCAACAACAAGCTTTCGAATACATGACTAGTTTGGCTGTTCTTTGAGCGTCGTGTGTCCAAAATCCGTCAAAGATTTTGATGAAGCCCTTTCAAAATACTGTTTGTTTGATTTATTTTCTGCCATAAAGCATAAAAGAAAAGAACTTCGAAGAAATCGATAATGGAATTTGTTACGTGCGTTAATTTGACCTTTATATTAATTGTCGCCTAGAGCCCTTGACCGAGGTATTTTTAAAACTGTTGTTTATGTCAACTTGCAACCAATCAAAATCCTTCATGATGCTGATCAACCAATCAGATTTTTCGTCCACCAGATGGACGGGAATCCCACAGTTTAGATAGGTTTTGTGTCAGGCCCTATTCTGTGATTAGGGCCTCAACTTCAGGTTAAATTTTGGTAGACGACTATTTTGATTGAGAGGGCTGGGGTGGTGGGGTGTAGTTGTTGGTAGGGTTGATGTAAATACTGGTATAACTGGGGTCTCTTCGTGAAATTGTGTGTTTGTAGCGGGGTGACCATCTTGTTGTGAATGTGCATTTGTAGGGGGTTGACTATCTTGTGATTGTGTGTTTACAGGGGGGGGGATTATCTTGTTGAACAATTTCATTAGGTGTCCCCGAGTCTGTTTGATCATTTGTGTTCACTGTTGTTGATGGGGATTGACTGCTTGTATTTTCTAAGACTACTTGAGTTACTTCTGAGGGGGAGTTAGTTTGAGACAATTTTGTAGATAGAAAATGTTCAATAGTGTTACTTATCTGAGCTGCTGTCTCCTCAATTTCTTCTTTGATGTCCTCTGTTTGGAATATTTCTTTCTCCAGTTCCTTTGGGTCTTCGATCATCCCTACGATTTTCTCATCTAGTTCTTCCAGAATCGACCTTTTCCGAGCTAATTGATCAATATGTAATATCACTGTCCGTTAGGGGATCCTCCTTCGTCGGTCCTACTAATTACTGCCCGGGACTGCCCGAGACTGCCCGGGACTGCCCGAGACTGCCCGGGGACTGCCCGGGTAAACATAACGTTATTTATTATATGGTAAGGCAGTGTGCTCTTGTTTTAAATCACTAAGTACATGTATAAAAAGGTTTTTTTCAAAACATTTGGCTGCACGCTAGGACAAATGGCAAAATTTGCACGGTGCTCGTTTGCAAAAACAACTGCAAACTGCTCTAATTCTTTCGTTTCTTTGTATTTGCATTTGATCTCATTTGTGAGTCGGCCTCAACGGTCTTTAACTTTTCTCCAAAAAATCATATGCGAGCTAGGTTATATGCATAATATGCCCGACATATCAAATAATGTATAATTTGCATTTATTTCGAAGAGACAATTAGCAAAATCGAGCGTATCTAAAAGTTGTTTCATTAATTAGCAAAACACGCAAACATGTTTAAATAACTGTACGGTTCATAGCCAACCAGAGTTGAGAATTTACAAATCATATTTTACAATAATGTTTATTATAATAAAGCCGGTTACAGACGAGCAACTTGTCTATGACAAGTTTTTATACGGCAAATTCTATTTGTCAAGTGCACTTGTATAGGTGCAAAATAATTTCATCAAGTGCTCAGATTACTTTGACAAGTTTTCTTTGTTGACCCATACAGACGAACAAAATTTGTACTTTGACAACTTTTTTTGTGACAAGTACACTTGTTCAAAAATTAGCATGCTAGCTATACTTGTCACAGTAAAAATTGTCAAAGTTGCGTATACAGACGAGCAAATAAAACTGGCCACATAAAACCTTGTCATAACGCAGTATGAAATTACACTATATATAATACATCACTTAATATTTCTGTTTCTGGTGATTGTTTTCAAACTTTTTACTCTTTTCCTTTGGCCTGGTTTCTTCGCAGTTTTACACGTTTTTGGAATTGTTAGGCGACCATCTGTAGAGGAAACAGTTTTTTTCTTTGCTGGCATACCCTTCATGAATTTTGCGAACAATGCTTCTTTTTCTTCTTTCGTTTTTTGTGTCCAGTGTACATATTGTATTTTGCATTTCGACATCCACGGGGCTAACTCATAGTTTCCTTGACCGTATAAAGCTCTCCTACATTCAGCTTGCTGTAGCTTGACAATCTTGTAAAGTCTTTCGATCAAATCTGGCAATTTCATTGTCTTCCAATTTGCCGAGAGCTTAATGATGTGGTTCATTGACTCACATGAATTGTTCTTCCAGTTAATAGGAAGCCACTTATTCTCTATGCGCGGTTGAAGAACGCCAGATCGAATTTTTTGTGCAGTTTTTCTGAAGTATTCTTCGAACGAAGGTAAATATTTCAAGTATTTGTCGGAAAGTTTCATTAATTTCAGTTCGAACTTTTTGACCTCGTTAAAAGACGTTAATCCATGCTTCCCGAAAATATCGCTTACAACTTGTTTTCTAACTTTGTCACTTACCCCAATATTGTTTGTCAAATATCGGCGAACATTCTCCTCCAAATGGCGCGAACAAAGTATATTCGCAGACGATGGAAAACATTGTTTTATTGCTTTCGTAAGTGCGGCCTCTTCGTCAGATCCAATAACAATTTTAGAGAGCTGTGTTCCACCGATGTCAACATTTAACTTACTTTGAAGATGCGAAAAAAATCTGTGGTATGTTGTGTAAAGTCCATCCCAGTGTAAATAAATTGCAGCAAGCATAATTGGGGGATTACTTGCCCCTTTTCTTATTAAATTATTGTGCTGGTATACCAGAGTAGTCGCAAAACACGCACCAAGATTAAATGTTCGATCTATTCTAAGAACACTGGGATTGCGAGCACTGGATGTACAAAATTGGCGTATGTCTTTTAAATTATCTTCCAGATAAAGTACAACACATGGTGGCTTACCTTTTGTCTGTATTATTTCTTGTATAAACGGATGTTTGTGAATGTC